CCGGTTTCTTCTGTGGTTTTAAGCATTTCTGCTGTTATCATATCTGGACCTGGTGCTTTGTTATATTTGAGCTCATGATAGCCTGTATGACTTCATTTTCGAGCTATGTCTTCTCTGTTTGTTCTCAGGGTTCCAGTGTTATCTTCAATGGCCCAAGTTCTGGCTCTGAAGTCTCTTGTCAGGTAGCGTATTTTTCTAAATAGATCTCTCGGCTGATTATTCTGACCAAGTCTCTCAATTTCTTTGCATATACTTTGATAGTACTGTTTTTTGTCGGCCTTACATCTTCGTTTTATTTCTTTATTGAGGTTTCTTAAACTAGCTATTTCCCTTTCACTATCTACACCACTTTTACAAAGATTTCTTCTGTTCTCAATTATTTTAAGAGTTTCATCTGTTATCCAGTGTTTCCGTTTCACTGGATTATTTTCCTTTGAGCGATCCACTGGTGTTGTTACGCAATGTTTAACAGTCTCCCATATTTTATGTGATGTTCCGCTACGAATATAGGGCATACTTTTCTGTACTTTCTGTAGAAGGTCGTCTTTCTTTCTTAGTTTTATCCTCTTTATCTCTGTTTGTTTGTTGGGTGCTTTAAGTTTAAGCATTACTTTAGCTACGAGAAGAGTATGATCGGATCCGTATATCGCCCCTGGATATGATCTGACTGTTTGAATGGACGATCTCCAGCGAATATTGGTAAGGACGTAATCTATTTGATTTCTAAATCTATCTCCAGGACTTTTCCAAGTATAAAGTCGACGTACTGTTATCGAGTCAGCTGATAATTTACTTAAAAAATAATTAATTGTTAATTTTTTTATATTCTGTATCTGCCTTTTTAGTTTTTGTGTAGTATTATTTAGACTAGTTTTGTCTCGTGGTACTCTAATGAGCTGTACTAAAAAAATCGGCGAAACACAAAAAAAATGATAAAAAGCGTGAAACTTCATTAGCGCGCCACGGCCGCCATTTTGAATATTAAGGTCTGAAAATTCGACAATCATGTTTTTTTGTTTTGTACAACATGTGTGTAAAATTTCAGCCAAATCGGAGATGGTGACCCCACCGACTTGTGTCGATTATTACTGGAATTACCCTGTACGAGAGTATTTATGTTAATTAATGATGAGTTTACGTGTACCCAACTTGTTTGGCAGGTAAGATCCTTTTTCCCTATATAACAAAAACTATATAGTCTCAGATAGTCTCTATATAGCCAGAATGAAATCACTTCTTTTTCATCCACGTCTTCACTTTGTTGAGGCCTTCGTTCCCTCTTTGCATGAATGACCAGTTTTTTTGGTATTTCACCGTCATCACTAGGTATAAGGATCCACATATGTTATTGTCTGTACTTAATGCTCAGGTCGGTCTTCAAAGTGCCATTGTTCTGCTGCACTCCTTAAGCCAAGATATTTTAAGCTGCCTTTCTCCCTTGGTTTGTCTACGTTTCCTTTTATTTTAAATAAAATGTTCATATGTCTAACTTACTGCACTGACGAAGTGCTCTTTATTGTTGTTGAGTAACACCAAATTTAGGGCCTGGATGATATCATTCCACATTTCTCCCGTCTCGTCATTCGTTGGCGTCCCCCCTGAAAGAGATTTTGCTCTCAGATCCCAGCAACGATTAGTTTTTTTTCCTACTATACTTCTTGTTATTTCCTCTACCGGACGCTTATACTCTCCTAGTATGACAATAGGTCTATTATACTATTCTATTTTAGTCTACAAGGAAAAAGGAAGGTTTTAATATACATAAATAATCAAATAATGGTCAAATATATTATTAATAAAGTAAGTTATTAAAGTTATGGCATTAATTTTGAGACATTCTGCATAATTATTACTTCATGTAAAACAGTAATTAACCTATATAAAGACATTCGTCATTCACTTAAGGTGTAAAAGTAAGTGTGACTAAATGTTTATTGCTTATTCATTACTTATTTATTAAATAGCTAAATACAAATTAAAAGCCAAACATATACAGCGATATATGTAAATTTAAGTGTGCTTTTAATGAGAAATAACTGTTTATTACGATATTTATAATGAAAACTAACTTTAAACTGAGAACACCGTAAATCATTAGACGCTTGCACCGTATATCAGGAAAGGTTTTCTGCTTACATTATTTAATGTATTATAAAGATAATTACGATCGCCTAACTACTAAATACAAAAATTCATCAACTAATATAAGAAATAACAAAAACTATTGAATACATATATGCCTTTAAGACAAGCAGAAGATAGTGGCCAATTTGCAATGGTTATATACAATATTTAATATAAGTACAGTCAACACTAGAAGCAGAAGAAGAAGACTTTTTCGACCTGTGTTTTGTTACGGTACATTAAAGTCGAGGTTTACAGACCGTGGAATGTCTGGCATATTTGTAGATAAAAAAGATTTCATATTTCGGAAATTCCATGCTTAACCTACAAATCACGAATATATTGTTTGTATAGTGTCTATAATATTAACAGTAAACGTATTTAAAAAATTTCATAACGAAATATAAAATTCAGATAGTTCGAAATATGAGTAGGGGAACCTGGCCCAAAATGACATACTAGGGTAAAATGACACATCCGGTGTATCTCTAACTTGGCAAAATGGCTATGCGCTAAGAAGTTTCATACAAGATCATCACGTGGTGCATAATTGATGTTCCAACGGGCGTCGCGATGAGTTCTGATTCAGTCGTTTACTTGTTAAAAGGTGGTTTGTGCTTTATTGATTACCAAAATATTTTGGTAGGCGACGTATACTTCGCTATAAAACGTTTAAAACTTTAAAATTTTATATCTCTGTTAGTTCCAGGTATGTATTGTTATTCATATTAACAGAAACATCATGTTTGGAAGCTTTGTTTGTTTAAACAAAAAATTTATTGTAAAAAACGTGTTCTTGTTCACACTTGGGTAAAACGACATATTAAATACTCGGGTAAAATGACATAGTACGTCATTTTGCCCATATAAATTTTAATAATAATATTGTAGGTAAAATATTAATGTATGGTATTTTTCTTTTTTAGTATGGTGGGAAACTACGAAAGGAAAAGTACACGCCAGTCTTGGGATCTAGTACAAATGCAAAGGGCCATCCAGGCAGTCCAGTGTGAAGACATGGGCTGGTTAAAAGCATCGATAACTTTTAACGTGCCCCAAGCTACTTTAAGAAGACGAGCATCAGACAAGAAAAAACGGGTATCAGGTACTAATAAAGGTCTTGGCCGGTACGAAACTACGTTCTCTGTAGAATTAGAAAGAGACCTCGTAACACACATAAAACTCCTACAATCAAGTTTGTTTGGATTTGAACGTCATCTTGTGATGACGTTCGTTCTTCAGCCTACCAGTTAGCAGATCGAAATGGAATAGTACACCGATTTAACACAACCACTAAGATGGCTGGTTGGGATTGGTTACGAGGGTTTCGATCTAGACACCCCGATATATCCCTTAGAAAACCCGAGTCCACGTCTGCAGCAAGAGCGCAATCATTCAACAGGCCGCAAATTGCCAAATTTTTAAAACTTTTAGAGGCCTAATTACAAGTGCGGAAAGAGGGCAGCACATAACGATGGTTACTTGCATTAGTTCAGTGGGAAATTATGTTCCACCAACACTTATATTCCCCAGGAAAAATTGGAAAAAAGAATTAATATATGAAGCGCCTTTAGGAACTTTGCCTAGGAAGCGATGGATGACAGGCGAAGTGTTCCTAACATGGATGAAACATTTTAAAGAATATTCTAATCCTTCTATAGAAGACAAGGTTATGCTGTTGCTTGATGGGCATGCGATCCATAAAAACATTAATGTTTTAACTTTTGCCAAAGAACATGGACTAGTGATATTGTGTTTTCCGCCGCACTGTACCCATCGTCTACAGCCGTTAGATGTATGTTTCTTTGGTCCATTAAAGAGCTACTATGATCAAGAAGTTTTCAAGTGAATGAAGTGTCATCCAGGCAGAACAGTTTTGCAATACCAAGTTGGAGGATTATTTGCTACAGCGTATGGAAAAGCAGCTACACACCAAAATGCCGTTAGTGGATTTTTAAAGACTGGAATTTGGCCCCTTAATCCCGACATATTCCCTGATTATTTATTTAATCCTTCCAAAATAACAGATATTCAAGAAGAAGTTGCAATTCAACCCCTAACAGAGTCAAAAAAAGAGAATGATAATGTTTTGCGACATCAAGATTTTCCAGATCAAGGAAACAAACCGGTTTCTACACCTGGACCAAACTCACTTGAAAGTTGTTCTTCAATTAATCTTGGTATTCGTCCACTTGACATTTCACCTCTTCCATCGTGTTTAGGTGTCCAGTCACTCTCCAAAAAAAGAAAATCAGAAGAAACAAAAGTTCTAAGGGCTACCCCAAATATGAAAGAACAAAAAGCCAAAGCACTCGAGAAGCGAACTACAGAAAAACGTCATGCTGCAAAGCGAGCAATTAAGAATCTGACTTTAATGACACAAGACCATTGTGTCAGATTATGACGAAGACGAAAATAATCCTCCATGTTTATATTGTAACAGTTTGTACTCCCATTCAAGGTCCAAAGAATTCTGGATTAGGTGTCAAAAATGCTCAAAATGGGCACACTGTGATTGTGCTGGTATCTCAAAATCGTGCAAAAAATTTATTTGTGAACTTTGCTAATTTAGTTTATATGACATTTTATCCATGTGAGTGTATCGTTTTAGCCGAATATACTTGGATAAAATAACATAGCAACGTTTATTTTGTTTCCTTTTTTTAATTAAAAAATATTGTGTTGTTAGAGTTTTATGTTCCATGATCTGTTCTACTTTCAAACAATGAATAACATTTATGTTTTTTTAAATTTTTATTAAAAAAATGAAAAAGTTATTGGACGACAAAAAAGTAGTATGTCATTTTAGGTCAGGTTCCCCTAATTCTGGTTTAGAATATTAATACACAAATTTAGAAATGTTATTTTTGTTTCAGGGCTGTTGGCAGTCATTTGGTAATGGATCCAAATCAAACCTGTAAGAGAGCAAGATGGGCACGCGGAAAAATGGCAGATATCTGTCACAATAAACCAGGATTGTTAAATCAAATAGCCAAAGGTATAGCTCTTGGTCAAACTGAATGCCAATACCAGTTTAGGTATAGAAGATGGAACTGTACGTCCGCAAGAAGAAGCATTAAAAAAGTTATGTTAATGGGTAAGTTTTGATATTATTATATATACATTTAAAACATTTCTGGATGTTTTCCGATTTTGAATCTTCATCTCGATCAGTCGTTTCACAACTCGTTTTCCAGCCCTCTTTCTATCATATATTTGTCAATTCCTTCCATCCAGCTTACTTCTTGTCTCCCTTCTTCTTCTTCCTTTTTTATCCCAAAGGGAAAAAAAAATATTTTTTATCCTTTGTTGTTCTTTCTCTTTAAGATATCAATGCCGACCTATTCCAGATGTCCATATCTGTATCTTTTGACGGTGTTCTTGGCTTTTGATGTAAGTGTCCATGTCTCCCTGCCATAGACCATAAACTGTTGTATATTTATTATTTTAACATCTTTTATCAACGTCTGTTTGCCTTGCAATTTTTAGAAGGCTCAAATTATAAGCAGAAATCTGAATTGTGTTTCGAAACTATTTTACAGATTTTATAATTAGATGTCGCTATCGCGTCCATATTGAAGCCATTTTATTGTTGCTTCTTAAAAGACAGAAAATATTGATTTTTCACGTTGAGAACACCTATAAATAACTGTTCTGATGAGACCTATTAGGTCGAAATACGTATCAACAGATACATGGGAGTTATTTGCGTGAAATCAAATATTTGCTGTCTTTTTCATTTTATTTCGGATATACTCGGTGTGAGTACAAGAAACACAATTCGCTAAGGATTTCTGCTTAGTTGTAAAAGACATGTCGTGGAATGCAAATTTTAGATTCCGCATGTCCCTTTTAACATCTTTTATCAACGTCTGTTTGCCTTGCAATTTTTAGAAGGCTCAGATTAGAAGCAGAAATCTGAATTGTGTTTCGAAACCATTTTACGGATTTTATAATTAGATGTCGCTATCGCGTCCATATTGAAGCCATTTTATTGTTGCTTCTTAAAAGACAGAAAATATTGATTTTTCACGTTGAGAACACCTGTGAATAACTGTTCTGATGAGACCTATTAGGTCGAAATACGTGTCAACAGATACATAGGAGTTGTTTGCGCGAAATAAAATATTTGCTGTCTTTTTCATGTTATATTATTTTTATTTTGTTATCTTGTGTAATGGTTTGGTTCCATAACAAGTTATTTCGGAAACTTATGTTGCGTAGTATAAGTATATTTTCTTACAATCCGCAAGGAAACTAAATTTCTCTAGTTGGCTGTATACCATGTATCTCAAAAAATTTATTTATAAGGTATAAGCAAAGATTTAATACTAAGTAACTTCTCGAACAAGAAACATAAATTTACGTGCACAAAAAAATGCCGACAACACGGTCCTCCTCTCTGTAGGACCTTTACAAGGAAACTGTAGGGGCCGCTCTGTATTCGAAAAGGCACAAGCACAACTCGGCTCTATAGCCAACTGGTGTAATAAATGAAGAGTAATCCTTAATTCAGCTAAAACTTAACTAATCCTATTTAGAAATCCCAAACGTTCTCAGAACAGAACAACCACATCATGCTAAATAGAGAACGTCTTGATTTTAGAACGTCAGTGTCCTACTTGGGTGACAAATTTTCAAAGACAAAAGACACTGAACTGGAACATTAAGCATAAAAACACCCTTATTACGGTTAGAAACAGAGCCAACCTCATAAAAGCACTTGGTGGTAAAGTTAAGAGTACCAACCGTGTTACTCTCCTTCATACATACAAATCTTTAATTAGACAAATACCAATTATAGAATACAGAGCCAGAAACGACATAACGCTAACGAAACGATAATTTAACCAAATAATGTCAACAGAGAGAAAGCTCCTGAGGAGAATTATGGGCAAAAAACGTTATTACCATAAGCATTAATACACTAAATAGCGAATATCACAATTATTCATGATAGGATACTAAGCCTTAGCAAAATATATGTACCACCTACTATAGAAAACTCGAACAATAGAGCAAAGGAGGTTCTTAAAAATAAATGACACTTTCCTACCAGCTAAACTTCTAAATTAAGCAGGCAACGATCTTTTCTGATGAGTAATGGGATAAACTTAAATCAATCTTCCTAAAACCATGCAGGCAGTAACCTGCAATTGCCAAAAATGCTGATCTAAGAGCCTTTCCTTAAAATCATACCTACACCAACAACAGAAATGTATCACCTTCAAACCATCTAAGCGAGTACTGAAATCAATAAGTACTCAACATCTTAGCAACTACCACAATTTCCCTTCTTCTTCTTACTGCGACGTCTCCTTTCAGGTTGACGATCCAAATAGCAATTGTAGCTTTGGAAACTACTGCACGAAAAATTTCTGTGAACGAGCTGTCAAACCATGTCCTCAGGTCTTTCAGCCACGAGTTCTGGCATCCTTCAACTGATTTTTTGCCTGCACTTTTCCTTTCAATATGATTTGGTGAAATGCTGAGTAACTCTTTTGGTTTTCTCGTACGCCGAAGTATCTTACCGTTGGTTTTTTTTGTACCCATGGAATTTTCAGCATCCGTCTGATGCGTTTCAAAGGCATCTTTTTTTTTCTATTTCAGAGTCCATTTTCTACTTTCACAGTTATACAGCACAACAGAGAATACTTAACATCTGATCATTCGAATTCTGAGCTTTAGACTAAGGTCTGATCTTAGAAAAAAATGTTGTCATGTTCATGAGTGTTTTCTTCGCTTGTTCGATTTTTGATAGAATTTCTTTTTTTGGGTTACACCGGTTGTTGATATTTGCTACCAAATATTTTATGCAAGTTACCTGTTCTCTTATTTGTTACTTGGCATACAAATGTATGTTTGTTGGTATCTTTGAAAATAATAGAATTTTTGTTTTGGAAATATTTAGATAAACTGATATTAAAGTAAACTGAACATTTCGCTATGACGAACTACCACATTTATTATATTTTGTAGTTCTTGTGCGTTGCTTGCTATTGGGACGGTATCATCAGCGTACCTGATGTTCTCTATGCTGGTTCTGTTTATTTTGGTTTCACCTTAAACCTCCTCTAATGATTTTCTAAACATAGATGTTTCTAAACAAGACGCAACCTTGTCGCAATTTTCGTCGGATTAATATACCTTGGGATGTTGTGTGCTCCATTTCAATTGTTGCCATTTGGTGCCAATATAAAATCTCTCTATTTAAACAAAATTTCCTATCTACATCTCTGCAACAAATAAAAAGGAGCAGCCGCACCTTCAAGAAGCGTAAGCCTATAACGTTCTAGGGGCAAATACAAATGGTAAGCGTTATTTTCTTAAGAAAGCTCTTAAGCAACCGTAACCCAAGCGTCAACCTACGATGTCTTCTTCTTAAAGTGCCCTCTCCTCAATGGAGGTTGGCTACTACAATTTTAAACTCTTCTCTATCTTCAGCTGTTCTGAGCATGTTTCTGAGCAACGATAGTCTTTTCCTTCCTAGGCCTCTCTTTCCCTCGATTTTTCCTTTCACTATAAGTTGGGCATATTAGTACTTATTATTTCTCAGTATGTGGCCTAGGTATTATGTTTTTCTAACTTTTACTGTGTTAAAAAGTTCTCTTTCCTTGCCTATTCTATGCAGCACTGTTTCGTTTGAGGTATGCGATGTCCATGAAATTTTGAGTATTCTTCGGTAGATTAACATTTCGAAGGCCTTCAATTTATTTACGGTTGATGTTTTAATGGTCCACGTTTCAACTGCATAAAGAAGGGTCGACCAGACGTAGCATTTTGATAAACGTAGTCGAATTTAGAGTTTTATTCGAGATTCACAAAGATTTTCCGGCCTGTTCTATTCTCGATCTTATTTCTAGATCAGGATTTAGGCTGCTATAAAATGTGCCCATTTGTTGTGCAAGATTGAGGTACGTTTTGGTTTTTTCGGATTGGCATCACTTTGGTTTTTTTAATGTTTATTTTCATACCAAATTGCTCACAGGTCGAGTTGGTCTTGTAGATGAGTCGTTGTAGACCTAAGTCGGAATCCGCAATTAACACTGTATCATCGGCGTATCTGATACTGTTAATATTTGCGCCATTCACTTTGACTCCATCCTTGGAATCCTCTAATGCTTCTCTAAATAGAAACTCGGAGTAAAGATTAAACAGCAGACGTGACAGAACACATCCTTGTCTAACTCCCCTTCTAATTTCTACTTCTGCGGATGTGGAACCTTCGATCCTAACTCTGGCGTTTTGGTTCCAGTACAAGTTTTTTAAGAATTTGATGTCTTTTCCATCTAAACCGACTTCTTGCAAACGATCTAATAGTAGGTCGTGTCTTACTCTATCAAATGCTTTTTCGAAGCCTATGAAGCATACAAATATATCTTTCTGTTGGTCGTAGCATTTTTGGGTGAGAACTACTAAACTGAACAGGGCTTCTCTCGTTTCCATGTCGGCTCTGAATCCAAACTGATCGTCTCCGATGATTGTTTCGCACTTTCTATAGATATGATTATATACGATTTTTAGTAGGACTTTACTGCATGACTCATAAGGCTTATCAGACAGAACTCATTGCAGTGTTGTGGGTTTTGCTTTTTTAGTAGTGGGATGAATATTGAATTCACCCAATCTTGGGGTATTTTACCTGTATCATAAATGCGATTGAATAAAAGGACAAATATTTCGATATTTTCTTCGCTGATTAATTTTAACGTTTCTGGGTATATTCCGTCTGGACCTGGGCTTTTATTTGTTTTGAGATGATTAATTGAATTTATGATTTCAGATTTCAGAATTGCTGGCCCTTCGTTGTTATTTTCCAATCTTGGTTCTTCTCGTATGCCGCGAAAAAGAATTTTAATATAGTTTTCCCATTCTTTCAGTTTATCTTCCGTTGATTCTAGCAGTTTGCCATCCGTGTTCAGCATGGTGTGAAAAGTCGTTTTCCTGGTAGTCGATGTAAACTCTTTTACCTTTTTATGTAAATTAAAAAAATCGTGCCTTGTTGCAGTTCTTCTGTTTCAACGCATTTTGTTTCCAGCCATTTCTCTTTTGCTTCGGTTACTTTTTTTCGAATTATTCTATTTAGTCTTTTGTATT